CGGCTCGACCGGCGGATTCACACTGCGGGCCACTCTGGGCCTCCGGCGGCCCCGTCCCTACCAGTGATGCGTCATCGCGAACAAATATTACCAAATATCGACGTTCGAAATTAAAACATCCATGTTAAAAATATACGGACCAAAAGTCTTCAATTTTAAAACATTAGCGTTCGAAAGCTGATTTAGAAATCTATAGGGTGTTCTGGCACGGCGAAGAATTAGAAAAATCGACAGCTCTATCGAACTGCACTTGCGCAGTTCCAGTTTTGCTTCACGTTTGTGCCTTTGCGCATTCGCATAAGAACAAGATTGCAGCGAATTGCTGTACACTGTACCGTGCCAAAATACCTGTATAACATAAAATTTCTTGCGCAACAGAATGAAATTTGATAGTGGCCGTACTTATTAATTTATAATGTTTAATATTTAACTGAAAACATATTAACATAACATATAAAGGTCAGTCCTCACTCCGCCATGGAGGGATATGAGAAGAAAGGAGGAAGTCCTACTGCCACGGCGCATTGAGATTGTATTATTAATTTACCCACAAAAAAAATCAAGATCGAAAGAACATCGAGCACAAATCATGGATATTAAAAAAACGGCTTCAATATATCGATGTTCTAAAAGACGGCATGGATGGTAATATATGGATGTTTTAAACATCGAGGATTTTTTAGAGACATTTTTTGAAACTTATGTTTTGAAAACATCCACGTTGATGTCGTAATCCTAGTCCCTATTTACTTGGTGACGCATACCTAATTCATTTTGATTAAAGTTTATTAAGTTAAAAACATTCTCTTAAAAAAATTCAAACACTTTGTTTAGTTCTTAAGCTACATTTCTGTCAGCATTCTGACGAACTTACGGAAGTGAAATTATCTTTGGTTTTAATATAAATTAAAATAAATGGTAATTAGGCGTCTAGTATTACTTTGTCCTTCATACACCAATCTCAAGATGAACACATATGCGCCTTTCCAAACCCTACAACCTTAGTGCTGGGAATTTGTCACCTGTTCAATATACACCCCTTTCGTCTGCTCCCATTAAATGGAACTAAACTGTAATGTCTGCCATGAATCCTAGATTAAATTATACATTCCGTAGACATCATTGTAGATACACTTTAGCTCGATAAAGATCAATAAAAAAGATGAATTGGGAATGAAGGTACTGTATACACATGAAAAGATTTCGTTACACATTAATTCGACTAATATTAACCAATGTATAGCAATTTTGCCATCCATAACGTGTGTTATTGAAGAAAAAAGTTCATAAAATTTAAAGGCAACTACAAAGGAAAGTGTATATATATTACACAGTTGGGAATTGCTCGAAAATACGAAACCCTGCGGTGTGCAGCCGAAACTGACAGTTTCCTTGGGTGACGTGATTCCCCGAACGGCCGCCTCACACCTGCGGCATTCGAACCCGGGCGCAGCGCGCCCAGGGAGCCCTGGGGATCCAAGCGGAAGCCGACCTCCGGGGCCTGCGCTGCACGTTCGGCCAACATTACCGTTGGCTTTTTTTTAACACCAAGGGGAACTCGGGAGGGAAAATGAATTATCCAATATATTGCATTATCTAAAACATTACCAACTTAAATAAACGTGTTTTTCATGACGTGTTTGAGAGAGACTCCTCAACGTGGCACGTTTTACTGGCAACTAAAACTCTCGTCATTTTATCACCTGAAAATAATAGGAACGGAAATAAGAACCGTTACACTTCTATTATTGTTTTAGTTCTAAATGCTATATTCGATTTTGCATTCATATTATATTTTCTTAATTACTCACATATTTACGCTGCTTTGAGTATTTTCATTTATTTGAAGAATTATCACAAATACTTCTCCTAACCGTCCGCAAATTCGAAAACTAAACACTTGAATTATCTCTACTCAACCTGAGAACATTGCATTTAACTTACTCTGCTTCACCGGAGAAAAAAAAAAGTCCTAATGCTTATTATGCAACGGTTGAATAATCATAGGGAGGAAGTACTCCAATTCTACGTAATTGTCCAAACGTTTTTACAACTACTTAATGAAAGGGAAATAAAGCCATGGCAATTGGCCATCGCCTATTAAGCGGAAGCCGGATAGGACGCGGCCGCGACGCAATTAAAAGGCGCGCCTCGCGCCGCAGCCACCGCCCAATTACTCGGGCC